CTTTAAGGATGCAAATACATGTGCAAATATGCAAATTCTTGGCTGATGCATTGAAAGTGTGTAATTATACATGCTTAACTTAGTTATACACTTGTCAACAGTTGAACTAAAGTAGCTAAAAGCATTTCTGTTTACACGTAAAGTTTCTGTTTGCGTAAAGTTTGTTTTGAGCGTAAAAATTAAAGCTTTTTTTTTTTTTTTTTCTTTTTTTGTTTGTTTGTATGTTTGATTAAAAACAATGGCATGTCAACTTTATTTATTTAAAAAAAAAAATTTAAGTAAACATTGCTTTACACTTAAAACTATTTGGAAAAACAAACAAAAAGTACTTTTTCAAATATATTGTTAGATAAAGATCATCAGAAAAATAAAATGAATAAATAAATTGCAAGTAAAAATAAATCACCTATTGTGTAAAAATGTATTTTCACCAAAAAAACTTTTTGCACCCATATGACAACAAATAGAAAGGTGATGCAACATGCCAGACATATAATTTAGCAAAGTTATTGTCTGAATTTATTTTTTAAAACAATGTATATTTAAATCAATTTAGCCTTCTTTTAAGTAAACAGAAAAATAAAGTAAATCCATAAATAAATGACAAATTACAAGCAATAAATCAAATAAATGTAGTACAACAAAATTAAACATTCAGAAGTTGATAGAGAGAAAGATAATGATAAAATGAATTTCACTTATTCTTATTTTTACGTAAATTAAAGAAAACACCTACATATTAATGCATATTTTTAGGCTACAATTAACAGCCTGCGGAAAATAATAAAAATACCCCTTAAAATAAAACACCTAAGTAATTGGACGCACTTTTGTCTCAAACTCCTAATTTGCCACTTATCAATAGTTAGTAAGGTAGTTAAGTTAAAGGTGGGGTAAGTGATTTCTGGTAGCCAATGTTGACATTTGAAATCACCAAAACAAATACGCCCCTACCCCAAAATGGTCTCGCCCCTATTTTGATGGCTTCGCCCCACACATACGTACACAACGCAGGCAACGATTAGTTCTGCGAAACAAAGCAAAACAAATCTTACACTGTGTCTACACCGGACGCGAGTGGCGCGGCGCGACAAAATACTATAGAACTCATTATAATCAGTGATGCTGTCTACACCATAGATATATATACATATCTA